TTTTAATTCTAGTTCTAACTAAATGTTGACATTTAAAATTTGTGAATTATACAAACTTCAGGTTTACTAATTTGAGAAATTAGACTAGAATTTCAAATCAAAATTAAATTATGATTGCAAGTTACTTTATTTGCTCTAATTTTCAAATTAAATTTCATAATGTAACTAAATAATTATTGTCCTATAACACACTTAATTGTAGTTCTAAATTGATTCATTGAATTTTGACACAAGACACGGAATTAAAATTTTGATCTAGAAAACAGAAAGTCTAAATTGGAAATCAAATTATTTTGATCAAGTTGGAATCCACAAAAAATTATGGCACTTGTATTATTTTGCCTATAAATATTTGTGTTTATTAAAGAAAAGTGTCGATTAGACATAATTAATTAATTATATAGCCTAGAAGTAGTAATTTAATTAATTAAGTAAATAATGATGATAGCAAATTCAACGACAAAAAAGTACCTCCACTTATCAATTCCTATTTAAAACTTTGTGATCTAATTAATTAATTTTTTCACTGTGACATAATTTTAGTTCTAGTTCTAACTAAATTTTGACCTTTAAAATCCAAACTTCAGTTTTACTAATTTGAGAAATTAACACACTTGGACTAGAATTTCAAATTAAAATTAAATTATGATTACAAGTTACTTAATTTGCTCTAATTTCCAAATTTGCGTCCACTTAAATTAAATTTCGTAGTCCAACTAATTAATCATTGTCCTATAACACAATTACTTGTTGTTCCAAATTGAATTTTGACCCAAGACACAGAATTAAAATTTGAGAAAGTCTACATTGGAAATCAAATTATTTTGAGCAATTTGGAAACGACAAAAAATCATGACACTTCCTATTATTTTGCATAAATATTCGTGTTTATTAAAAAAAAGTGTCAATTAGACATAATTAATTAATTACTATACAGCTTACAAGTATTAATCTAATTAATTCAGTAATTAATCAAAATTTCAAATTCAACTACAAAATTGTACCTTTACTTATCAGTTCGTGACCTAATTAATTAATTATTTCGCTGTGACATAATTAATTTTATTTCTAGTTCTAACTAGATTTTGACTTTTAAAATTTGTGAATTATCCAAACTTCAGTTTCACTAATTTGAGAAATTAACACACTTCAAATTAAAATTAAATGATAATTGCAATGACTTTATTTGCTCTAATTTCCAAATTTGCGTACACTTAAATTAAATTTCGTAGTTTATCTAATTAATTATTGTCCTATAACACACAAGACACGAAATTAATTTCCCCTTTTAATTTGAGAAATTAGCAGGTCTTAGGACGTCATGTGCTCTTAATTGAGAATCAAATTATTTTCATCAATCAAGAATCGATGTTGATTAAACATAATTAATTAAGCTAATTTTGTAAAATGCTACCTAATTAATTACTTCATTGTGACATAATTAATTCTAGTCCATTTAGAGGTGCTGACCTTTAAAATTTAAACTTCACTTTTACAAATTTAATTTTCTCATATGGACTTTTTATAATTATTGAAATTAAAATTTGGTTAATTGCGAGTTGTTTTGAATATTGTACACTTATTTCAGTTCAGAACTGTTTAAATTACGTATCATAATTAATTATGTAATTATTTTGCTGTAATATAATTAATTATTTCAATGAGTTTTGACAACGAACTCGAACACGGAATTAATTTCCTCTATTAATTTGAAAAATTAACTGGTTCTAGCACATTATTTACCCTAAATTGGAAATCAAATTTTTTCATCAATCAATAATCAATGTAATTAATTAAGCTAATTATGTAGTATACTTTATGATGCCTCATTTATTAATTTATTTCATATCTTAATACATCTGTAGCCTCCAACCGTAACATTGGTTATTAATTTAAGACATTAATTAGTTTTCTAATTGCGAATTTATTCCCTTCGTGTTCTAATTAAATTATTTCGCGAAGACATAATTAATTCTAGTTCTAACTAGAACTAAGTACTCAATTTTAATTAACTAAATTGCCACTTTCACTTTAAATTTAGAATCATTTTATTTTTTTTTAATTAGCCAAAATTGTTCCGAAATGATGATTTCTCCCGAGGTTCAATTAGATTTTGGTCAAAGTCCGGGTTTGGCGGCCTCAACTCCGGTCGTTTGTAAAAAATTTAGATCGTGTTGGCCGTTTGGCCGCGCAAAAAATTACCTGCTCCGTCCCTCTCTGTTATTATTCCTTGCTCCGGTTCTGTACCCGAAGACACAATTCCCAGTGATTGCTCGCCGTGACATTGAGGTAAAGTCTGCGACCTTTAATACGTAGGTAGATTGAAAGAGGCTTAATACCCAGCCAACTAGTCCTTTCATAACCCAGACGGACTTGAGATGTTTGAAGACGCGACGATGAATGGGAACTTCGGCGACTCCGGAAGAAGAATAGGAACGTGTTTTTTAACTCGCCACGCGCCCTTTTCCGTTGTTGTGCGACCGTTATGGAGATTTTTTATCACAATTCGGAAATTTTTCCCACGATTTCCGGTCGTTAACCGCCGACGAGCTTTTTTCCACTTTCCTGTAAAGTTATTCCCGCCCGGAGTGGACGGTTTTATCCGTTAAATTCTCGATTCGGTAGGGCAGAAAACTGGCTTTTGTCCTCGGGATATTTTATATTCACCTTCGTCCCGTATGGGAATTTATTCCCACCGAACTTGTTTTTCGTCGAACAGGTAAAATCTGAAAGGGGCTCCATTTTCGGTAGTTCATAACGGCCGAATGAAGCTGGTTTGAGGACCAAGAGACTCGAGAAACCGGAGTTAATTTCGCCGATGATTGATTACCGACATGACAGTTGAATTAAACTTGATATTTTCACAAAAAACCACTCTTTTATTATAAACAAATTCAGGAGGCGATGATGGACGATGGTAAAAAGCACTCGACTGCCTCCGACTCGAAACGATAAATCTCCGGTAATGAAAATTTATTTCGCTAAAGTTGATTTGAAAAAATCTGGCGCTATAAATTCGACATTGCTTAAATCATACCTGGGTTGGTATTCAATTATGTGATTTATGGGAGCCGATGGGAAATTATACCATCGATGGGAGACAATGGGAATACAAATAAATCAAGCTTTAGTCGAGACTACAGGAAGTAAATATTGAATTTACTGTGACAACCTCAACTTTATTGCTTTTTTCTTTAATTTTTGTTTGATTAGGTTCTGCGGTAGCCGATTCCCGGGCCCTTAATGGAACCACGTGCAACCTTGCTATTCTTACAACTAATCCTATTAAAAGCACGGCTTTCATTCCGATTTTTGTTACACAAACAACGCTTCGAAAGCATCTCCAGGTATATACCCGCGATTTTTTTGCTCCATTGGCAGTAAAATAATGATCAATTACAAAGGGGGGTTCACAGGTACGGCCCCTCATGACCCAAACATACTCCGAACATTTTTATTTTTGGAGTTTAAATCGAA